AGAAGAATTAATAAATTAAATTTAAAAAAATTCTTTTCGGAGTTTGAAAAAGACAGCTCCAATATACATTCCTTTCCGTAAATTAATTCAGAATTACCCGGAAATCGAAGTCTAAAGTAAACATTTCAGCTGTAGAACTATCACACACATTTTCAAGAATAATATGCAAATTAAACTAAGCCACCAGATAGTTCGTCACGATGACGATAGAGTAAGAGAGGGGCATACTAGCAAAGAAGCAAAATTGTTCACAAGCCTTCTAAAAGCTGCCCAGTGCCATAACCGAATAGTTATGACACAGAAGATGAAATTGGATGATTTCTAACGTGGTGGAATTATTGGCAAACTTAACTCAAGTGGAAGTATCCAAAGAAATTGGAATTGCCCAAAGTGTTGTCTCTAGTCTTTGGTAACGATTCCAAGATGATATAAATACTAGTAGAAGTTACAGTACAGGTCTCTCCCAAGTTACAACACCGAATGAAGACAGGCATTTGGCAGTAATCGCCAAAAGAAGCAGGTGGAGCCTCTCCTGTCATGTCAGCTATCTGCTGCTACAGGTACTACAGTTTCAAAGCAAACCGTGCATAGACATCTAGAAAATATTGGTTCATATGCTCGCTGACTAGTCAGTTGTGTTCTGCCTACGGCAATCCACTTTTGCCAGTGCTTAGCTTGGAATAGAAAGCATACAATTTGGACATTTTCATTTTTATATTTTATAACCGTCATTGAACAGCAGACCAGATTTTGAGTTTACGGCTACCAATATTCAACTCCGTAGCTTTGTAATCTAGAATCCAATCCAGATGTCAAGATAACTCCTGGACCAAGTATATGGAGAAATTTAACGAATTCTTATGAAATGTTTAAAACTCCTTCTTTGTGTATTTTTTTCAAATAACAAGAATGCATTTGCAATAAGAAAAAAAAAGAATGTGAAAAAGCTGTAGAATTCACTCATGACGGAACTGAAACGAGTCTTTCTTCCCCAATCGAAATTTTATTTGTTCTGGAACAACCCCACTATCTTTAAAAATGATAAATTTCCATCAGTGTCAATTTAAGACCCACCACAATATCAGAAATAGTTACACGCAATTTCCATAATATTTTGGTTAACTGTCTCAAAACGCGGAAAAGTAGCATCAGTTTTCATCGATGAAGGCGTGAAATTTGTGCTGAAATCTATAAAAAAGTAAGTTGGGGAAAATTATTTTACCCAATCTTAAAGCTATGCACGGAGACAAATGACACAAGATGATGATCTTCCTCAAACTCCGAATTTTATACGTAATGGGGCAGAGGCAATTTGACTGATTTTCTGCTAGAAGATGAAGTGCCCCTGAGCTCTCTGAATCTTATTCTCTTCGATTATTTTGCTTGCGGTAAGTGCTATCAAAACTTGATAATGTAAAACGTAGAAATTAGAATCAATTTTGAATTATTATGCAGGAACTAAGGGAAGAGATTCCATGCTTGTTAAACGTTCTGCTTGCACCAGTTTTGATAAAAGACCATAAAGCTTATAAAAAGTTAATTGATGAAATCATTCCAACCCATTTGCCTTATTGACCTTAAATATGTTTCTTTTGGCGATATCAAAATCATAATAAATTTAATTCCCCCTAGCAAATTTTTGCTTTAAACTTCATTAGAACTTATTGGTTACCTTGTACATAGTAAAAACAATGCAGAGTTGAAACACTTATGCGTATCTTTAATTTTTGAATTGTTTAACAGCGCTGTTATAAAGGTTGAAGTTTAATATTTGAATAAAAATTTATAAATAAAACAAAATAGGCAGTAGAAAAACTGAGTAACAAAACTGAGCAATTTAATTTACATAAATTGTTTTACGTTATATGCAAACTTTAGCGTGAAAAAAATATAACACTTTTTGATCTTTTTAGGTCTTCTTGGGCGTCACTTCAGTGAAAAAATAACATTTAAAATGCAAACAAAAAATCCTTTCTTTTTTTACTGTAAGCAAGCAAAGATGTTCAACAACAACCATTAAAATAAAAATAAAAAGTTGCTCCAAAAATCATTTTTTTAGAATACCTCTGAGAAATTTATCTGTGCAAAATAACAGGACTATGCTTCTTTAAGTTGGAAGTGCCAAAAAAGGAAGGGAGGAGAATAAAATCGGATTTACTCTATGACTACGAACGACTTAAGAATAAATAAAGAGCAAATCAATAGAAGTTTCTTCGATATTTTTAAGCATTACTGACTTATTTTTCCAAGTTAAGTGTAGAACAGTTATCTTAAAATATGAAATTCATAGATTTGAACTTTAATTTTTTTTTAAAAAAACATGAGTTTAATCGTTTACTCTCTGGGAAGAAATTTGGAAAAATATAAAGTTTAAAATATTTTTTTTTAATTTTTTTATCAGCAAAATATTTCTCTTAAATTAAAATCTTCATATAAATGTAGTAAGTAAACTGAAAAATCAGGATCTTAGCAAATATTGCCAGCATTTTGTAATTCGCCAGTCTCGATTTGAACGTCTTCAGTATTTTCAGAATAACCTTTCGTTCTTTAAGACTTGTTGAAATAGGCTCATATCTATTTAAACTAATTAGGACATGTGTGAAAAATTATACTCACTTTTACTGAATTTGTTTCGGCTCATTGCGATGAGCCCTGTGTTATGCCGTCGACCTACTAAGTTCATTTCAAAATTAATCAATTCATCTCTTATTTTACCAAAATTTATCTCTTATGTTAAAAAGCTTCATATATACATAGTTCGGTTTTACCCTGTCCCGCCCCTATTTCGGGGCATCCAGGGAATACTGTTGAAGGATCGATTCAGGCCAGATCCTCCATTTTGTTTTCAGAAAGTCTTTTAAAAATATCTTCAATTCCTTTGATTAGTTTCTTTTAATTCCAGTTTCTTTTAATGGTATCAAAGTTGAAATTTCTCGTGAAAAATTTATGTGTAAAGTATGTGTTCGATAGCTTCATAAGTTTTACAAACTTTGCAGTTCGGATCTTTTCCGAACAATTATGACTGATAACTACCTTGGGTTCCATGGTTAGTTAGAAATTGATTGATATAAAAGTTAGAGTAGATTTTTCGATTGCGGACTTTTGGGATAAATTGGTAAGTGTGTCGGTCTTTTTTATCATCACTATCCCATCTTTGCCATGTTAAGCTTCATACATGCACCGAAGAGCCATTACATTATGACTACCCTGCTAATAACATGTAGGTCCACTTTTAGCCCTCAAAACTGCTAGTATCCGCCGTGGCAGTGATTCCACAAGCTGCTGATAGGTAGTCTGAGGTATCTGGTACCAAGCGCTCACCAACTGGACCTGCAATTTCCTCACATTGCGAGGGGGTAGCGTGGCAGCACGAATTTGGCTTTCCAAGTAGGACCACAAATGCTCTATTGGATTAAGGTCAGGTGAATTTGGGGGCCAAGACATAACTTGAAAGTCACTGGAATGTTCCTCGACGATTCGATCCTTATGACATGGTGCATTATTCTGTTGGTAAACGCCATCCCCCGCAGGAAAAACTGTTGTCATGAATGGGTGAACCTGGTCTGCAACTATGTTCAAGTAGCTTACAGACGTCAGGGATTGTTCTATGAGGATTATGGGTCCTAATGTGCCCCATGAAAACATTATTCCTGGGTGAGACCATTGTTATAGATGGAGGGTGGTCATAATGTAATGGCTTCTTGGTATATATATAAGGCTCATATCTATTTAAACTAATTAGGACATGTGTGAAAAATTATACTCACTTTTACTGAATTTGTTTCGGCTCATTNTATATATAGTGATTTCGCACATTTATCTATTATGTTTAAGGCTTTCAGATTCTTGAGGAACCGACAACAAATTACAAACCGAAAATAGTGTTTTTGAACACCCTGTGCCGAAAAATGTAGCAATAAATTTGTACCTTGTAACAATTATTTTGGTTATTATATTTAATGATTGCACAAAGTTCCGTAAATCTAGATTAGATATTCATGGAGATATGGACATTTTTATAAAAAAAACTATTTTTTTGGTCAAACTTTTTTTGCTATAGTTTTAAACATTTTCACTAAGATGAAACAAAATTTTTAGAGAAGATTAAAATTTATTACAAAATGTTTGCTTTAAAAATTGAAAATATATTCAATATATAAGTAATTAAAGTAATTATTTTATACTGCACGGAAAAAATCAATCATTGCAATCACTGCATAAGATTTCGAAAGCCTAGCTTAAACATTCATAGAGATATGGACATTTTTATAAAAAAAAACTAATATTTTTGCCTCGTGTTTTCTTGCTATAACTTTAAAAATATTCAGTAAAATTAACAAAATTTTTGGGACAATTAAAAATTAAAATTTTTTTTTTTAAATTCGGAAAAAGTTTGCTTAAAATTACGCAAGATAGGAGTGTTTAAAGTAGTTCTTTTGTAATGCGCATGAGCAAGAAATTCTAGATTTTTTTCTTCATAATTTTGTAGTGAATCGTATTTAGCTGCCAATGAAAAAGATCTGACTTGAATATCCTAAAAATTTAAAAAGTTTCAAGTAATTTTTGTACTTTTTAAAAGAAACTCAAAAGGATAAGGGGTTTTCTGCAAATATTGTTCTGTATCTTTAGACAAAACTAAATAAGAAATGATAATACCTTACAATATGTGCTCATACACCGAAATATGATTGTATAATCCCATTTTGGCAATGCAGTTGGTTTCGGCAAACCAACCAATAATCAACCTAATTCAGAAAAATGCTTTTATCCTTCATCAGAGACTTATTGGGTTGCCAAGTAATTCTTATTGGTTGAATCATGATAATAATAGGCAAAGAAATCTGAAAACGTAAAATGGTTTCCTGCAGTGTGTCTCTCACCTTGAACAACACAATGACATAAGAACACTGAAACAGGCACTACTGTTTTTGACAAACCCTTTGAACTATAGCTTCCTTGATGTGCGGCTGGACCTGAATATAAAAGTAGATAGGAAGGAAATGAGTCCAGAGCAAATGAAAGCTATTGCGTTGGAAACAATTGAGCAGCGATTTCCTGCTGAGGAATGGATACATATATACACGGATGGTTCTCTGACCGTTAGGGACCAGGGGGCTGGAGTTGGAATTTTTAGCAAGCTTTTCAGTTTCTACTTACCCGTAGGGGCTTACTCCACGCATTTTGATGGAGAACTGAAAGCCATCCAGGTGGCACTTCAAAAACTATCATTGATACAGAACTCTTTCAAGAAAGCAGTTATCCTTTCATATTCAACTTCAGCAATGCAGGCCATCTCTTTTTATCAAGAGTGTAAGAACATATTAGTCAAGCTGTGCCAGGAAATCATGAAAGAACTTTCCCACAAGATATCTTTTAAATGGGTACCCTCACACTGCGGTATTTATGGAAATGAGATGGTAGATATGCTTGCCAAAAGAGGAGCTGCGGTTCTCCAAAACCCCAAAACTAAAGGAAACCTCCATTGCATTAAACTGCTGACATCACTCATATATCAAAAGACACTTAGAAATTTTGCCACTCGGGTTTGCGATGGCAAGCCTTGGAGTGCTCTTTTAACAAACTCAGCTTTTATTCCTGACCACCAGCGATCAGTTGCGGTTGCAGCTTTTAGACTATTAACGGGGCATGACTGTCTACAGAATCATTTATTTCGCATTGGACTAGCTGATTCACCTTTGTGTGTTATATGTGATAGTGGACGGCCAATGACGGCAGAACATTTGGACGAGTGTAAAGTACTGACAGATTTTGTATACTTCAACGCTATTGGCAAGCAAGAAGTTTAATGGCCAAACGGAGGAAGTTAACTGGCATTTGACAAATAAAATAAATATAATTGTATGAGGATACGAAACGTATTTTTATTCAAGATGCTTCCCTAGAATGCCGGTGGAAAACCCCTTATCATGAATTTCATTGTAGAAAACTCTCTATCATTTTAAACTTTCTTTTAAAAAGCACGAAAGCACTACTTAGAAATTTGCGTAAGACTTTTTAAATTTTTAAGATATTCAAATCGGAATTTTTCGTTTTATTAGTTGTCATATACGATTCGCTACAGAATTAAAAAAAATTAAAATGTTTCAACGCATGTGCAGTGTAAAGAAACTAATTTAATTACTTATATCTTGCCCAGTTTTAAACAAATTTTTTTCAAATTTTAAAGCAATAATTTCGCATTTAATTTTAAATTGCTCCAAAAAAAATTTTTTTTATTGAATATACTTTTAATTAAAAAAAAAAATTTTTTATTGAAGAAATTTTTTTTTAAACTGAAAACAAAATTTTTTTATTGAAGTTATAGCAAAAAAATGTTAGACAAAAGGATAAGTGTTTTTTATAAAAACGTCCATTTTTTCATAAATATATAAGTTACATACACGAAAGTTTGTATAATTATCGCATATAATACGCAAAATAATTGTTACAAGTCACAAATGTATTGCTACATTTTTGGCATAGGATGTTCCAAAACTTTCTTTTCCGTTTTTAATTTTGTTGAAGCCGGTATGAATGTAGTAATAGTAGCGCCACCTACATTAATTAGAAAAAAGTTACTTCCTTGTTGGATATCATTGCGTCTAGAGAAAGACCAATGCGCTGTTCTTAATAAACGCATATTAATAATTAATCCGCCATTTATTCCTTTTGTTGTTGTTTATCTAAAATCAGATCGACATTATCTTTATGAGCTCGTAATATACGAACCACGCAAACCCGCAAACGCAATTAAAATACAAAATATCAACAAATTTACTGTCGGTTCCTCCAACTTCTAAAAGCTTTAAACTTCCTTAATAAGTATGAGAAATCGCATAACCTAAACACGTTTAAATTTGTAAACGGATTCTATAAGTTTTTTTAGAAATTTTTAGAAAGATCAAAAAATATGTTAGTATAGAAGTGTTTAAATTATACATTATTTTGCCCAACCCCTATGTATATCTTTATATAATATAAGAAGAGAGTGAAAGGATAACACATAGCCAATCACAGAAGAATTGGCCGGAAAACCACGTGATAGGATCCAGTTTCTCCTCATTGTTTTGATTGTCATCAGCATAAAATTAATAAAAGTCGTAAATCTCTATAAATATCTCTGTATCCCAAATTTGAAGTTCTTTTTTCTGTACTGTTATTATTACGTTTTTAATTAAAGAGTTAAAAACAAAGAAAATTGTTTTTTTTTTCTTCTTTTGTTTTATTATAATGCAATACTGTGCTACATTTTAAGAAAAAGTTATTTATAAAGGTAAGATAAAGTTATTTAGATTATTATTTACCATTTTACAATTATAGTTTTTGCGCAGATTATATTAATATACCGTTATAAATTACAATTAAAGAGATCTGTAAAATGATATAGAACTTAATAATCAGCTTCATGCACAATAAAATGCAAACAAAAATAATATTTAATATATCCGCCTGTTTGGTGAGCGAAAATATTAAATTACGGTTGTGAACACATCAAATTTGTTTGACACCAATAGATCTAATTATTTATAATACTAATCGATAATACTAATAGATAATAATATTTGGTCGTGGAAAGAGGAGGCACAAGATTAAGCAAACAGAATTCTTTTTAGTACATACATGTTAAGTGACTAATTTTAACTTTAGTAGAAAAACTGTTTTCTGCCGAGAAACGACAACTATTGCAAAGCAATCATCGTTGTTGGTGAGCGGCAGCGAACAGGGGGCTTAGCCCCCTAGTATATATATATATAAAGTAAGTTAATTGAAAATAGATTTTTTCTTACATTCTCTAAAAATATATTTTTTAAAGACCAGTAAAAAGTTGCACCTGATTAACACAACTTATATAAATCTTCCAGATCTTCCTAACCTAAATTTCTATCGTATTTTCCTAAAAACGATACTTAATAACTTAACCCTATTTATATCATTGCATTCTCTATAATGTATGGTATGAAGTGAAGAATTTTTTGTTAACTATAGTTTAGAGTTTCGAAACTTCATAAATGCATAAAAAATAACCTTTTAAAGCTTATAACTTGCATGTGCTACAATGTAAAAAGTAAGTATGAAATGGTTTGGGTGTGTTTAGAGACAATATGATTAAACATTTTTGGGCAAACTCAAAATGGTGTTCTCTATGCGCGATAACATTGAAACTAATTTCATTATTTCTAAAGTTTTACGTCTTGTAACTACCTTAAAAGTTCAAGTTTAGCAAAATATTTTAAACACATAAGCTTAGAGATAAATACTAAATAGGAATTCTATTTTTGGTCAAACTGAAGATGTTATTTTCTAGGCGCGATAACATTAGAACTATTTTCACTCTTTCCTAAGTTTTATGTCTTGTAAATACGGGGTAGCCGTAGAAGTTTTTCACAACCTTTCTCTTTAAAGTAAGCTAAAAGTGATAAGACTTTAGAATCCTCCGAGAAGGCGAATTTGTCGTGATACTTGTATTCTTGTGGTTTTTAGTAGCTTTCGAAATTACAAAGACACACGGGGGAAAAAAATTTCCGGTAAAATTATCACACTCTATGGTAAGAACATTTCTGATTAAAAAGAACAGAATTCTGGTCGTAAACTTCGAAATATAAGTTATTTAAATTATTCATTTGGTAATTTTTCCGTTCATATGGTAACGGTTAACCGGAAATGGGATTTTCAAAATTATAATTTTTGCTATCACATATTTAATAAGAAAATTAAAAGTAAATTGATCCGAATAAATGGTTTTTAAGCAGTGCTCTGAGGTATCATGATAAAATTACCAAATTTTATCCAATTTACCAAATTTTATTACATATTATAAAGCCACATTTTAACGTTAATTTTACCAGAATCAATATCAGAGTACTGCCGTAAAAATTACCGAACATTTTAGTGTTTCCGAAGAGCGANCACTAAATTGTGGTGGGAGCGCCAATTAAATAATACTGAAATACCCAAACTCAAAGATTTAATAGAATTTTTAAAAAGCTATGCTAGAACTCTTCAAAACAGCAAAAGTTCGTCCAGTAAATTTCAAAAACCTATTAATGCTAAAGTTAATTCTTTTGTTTCGCTTTCTATATGTGTATATTGTAAAGATAATCATTATATTTCAAAGTGTTCGAAATTTTGCAATTTACCAGTTCAGCGAAAGATTGATTTCGTTGAAAATAATAATCTTTGTTATAACTGTTTATCAGGAATTCACACTATAAAAAAATGTTAATCTTCTAACACCTGTTTTAAGTGTAATCTCAGACATCACAGCTCTTTGCATAGAGATGAGAAACCGAAACCCTTTTTTCTCTTTTTAAGTGCCCCTGAATTTATACCCAGAGCAGAAGAACAGAAATCAACGACGCCATCAGCCGCGCCTATTAATGAAGTTTCGTCTACAGTATGTGCGAATTATTCGAAAAGTGAGCAATTGGGCGATAGCATAAATCAAAGGAATTCTTCAGTTCTTTTATGCACAGCTATAGTTAAGGTTATAAATTCTCAAAACGAATCCATTAACTGTCGAATCCTCTTAGACTCGGGATCTGAGAAAGACTTAATTACTCGCGAATGTGTCAGCAAGTTAAAATTAAAAATAAATCCCGCTCAAATATCTATTTCTTGTTTAGGAAGTTGTAATACTTCGAGTAATGGGCAAGTAGATTTATTATTTTCGCCTCATTTTAATGATAATTTAAGATTCTCAACATCCGCATATGTTATTGATAAAATTTGGGGGGAAAACACCAAATTCTTCCATTCCAATTGATTTGTCTAGAAAATATCAAGATCTCGTACTAGCTGACCCATATTTTTGGAAATCAGGAGATATTGATATTCTATGCGGTGTGAATGTATTCTTTACATTAATTAACGGAAAAGTAATAAAACGCGATAAAAATCTCCCTTTCGCAGTATGCTCTAAACTAGGTTGGATAATTTCCGGAGCTACTACTTTTGAATGCTCTAAAACCAAAGAAATTTCAGTTAATAATTTTAATATAAGTAGCGATGACTTAGTCAGAACATTCTGGGAATTGGAACAAATTCCTTCAACACAACCGCTTACAAAGGAAGAAAACCTTTGTGAAACACATTTTGTGGAAAATGTCACACGCAATAAAGAAGGCAGGTATTCCGTCAGACTCCCGTTTAAACCCAATAAGGGAATTTTGGGAAATTCAAAAGCCTCCGCGTTCAAATTGCTTTTTAGTCTAGAAAGAAGACTTTTAAAAACTCCAGATATTTATTTTCAATACAAAAAATTTATGGCGGAATCCTTTCTCTTGGGCATATGGAGGAAGCTAATAATCTAAATTTAGATAACAAAAATGAGCACTATTTCATCCCGCATCATCACGTAATTAATGATTCTAGTCCAACCACAAAATTGAGGGTTGTTTTTAATGCCAGAGCAAAAACTGCATCCGGGTTATCACTGAATGAAACGCTAATGAATGGTCCTAAAGTACAAGACGATCTTTTCGCAATTCTTCTAAGGTTTAGACGTTACAATATCGCGATAACATGTGATTTGCAAAAAATGTATCGGCAAATAGAGATTCATAGATCGTAATTTTCAAAAAATTCTGTGGAGAGCTGATCCCATGAAACCAGTTAGGGAATATCGCTTGTGTACCGTAACATATGGTACCCCGCCGGCCAGTTATTTGGCAACGCGAGTTTTTAAACAATTAGTCATCGATGAAGGATTAGATTTTCCTAAAGCAGCTAATTTAGTCTTACATAATTTTTATATAGATGAAGGCTTGTTTGGAGCAGAAAGTGCTGACGAAGCCGTTGCATTAATAAGTGAACTTAGTGAGCTGTTGAGAAAAGGAAAATTCGAGCTTCACAAATGGTGTACCAATAGTCCTTCTGTTTTGGAATTTTTAAGTCAACCTAAAAGTATTGACAATGCATCATGTAGTACTGCTGACTCTAAATTTATTAAGGTGCTAGGGCTGAGATGGGACCCAAAACATGATGATTTTACCTACAACATTTCCTTTTGTGATGATTTTAAGGATGAAAATCCTACAAAAAGGTCCATCCTGTCCTGTGTGTCAAAAATCTTTGATCTACTGGGATGGTTATCCCCTATTATCATAACGGCAAAAATTCTAATTCAGGAATTATGGAAGCATCAGTTGGCTTGGGATGATCCAGTGCCCCAGGATATTAAATAGCAGTGGATCAAATATCGAGAAGATATTTCCCAAGTTACGTTAACTGTACCTAGAAAAGTTCTTCTGTACTCCCCATCAGGAATAGTTTTATTGTTTCTGTGATGCGTCGGAAAAGGCGTACGCTGCAGTTATATACTTGAAATCAACTACCATAACCACTACACAGGTTAATGTACTTACATCCAAAACACGCGTCGCACCATTGAAAACGATATCAATACCGTGCCTTGAACTTTGTTCAGCCGTTTCATTAGTGAACCTTTTACAAACGGTCCTCAAGTCCTTGACTATTCAAATTGACGCAATACGCGATTTTACGGACTCAACTATAGTTCTTTCATGGTTGAAATCTGAGCCATCACGTTGGCAAATTTTTATTGCCAATCGAGTTTCCGAAATTCAGTCTATTCTTCCAGTTCAACATTGGAATCATATCAGTTCTGGTCAAAACCCTGCTGATTGCGCTAGTAGAGGTCTTCCACCAAATGAGCTAGTTAATTTTGATTTGTGGTGGTCGGGTCCGTCTTGGATGAAAAGTGGCGAAATATCGCATTTGGAGGAAATCCCTCTCTCAACAGACACTCCAAAAGAAGAACGCAAAAAGACATCGTGTTTGATTGAAGCAACTCCTATTGACTTTCCGATCATTTACAATGTGTCATCATACGTTAAGTTAAAAAGATTTATAGCTTGGTGTCTCCGCTTCATAATGAACTGTAAATCTCCGAACAATCACATAAATGGTTATTTAACTAGTAGTGAGATAAAACTAGCTTGAAACGTTTTGGTTAAAATAGTCCATAAACAAGAATTTACAAACGAATATCACCAGCTAAAAAATAACAAACCAGTTTCTTCGAGTAGTAAGATCCTCTCCTTGAATCCGTTTTTGGATGAAGAGGGCCTTATCCGTGTTGGCGGTAGGTTAGAAAATACACAATTATCGAATGAAAGAAAACATCCTATTCTCCTACCGAAAAATCATCACTTAGTTAAGTGATGATCTAATTATAATTCACTATCATGAATCCTTCTTGCATGGTGGAACATTTTTACTATTATCAGTTATTCGCAAAGAATTTTGGATAGTAAATGCTAGATCAGTTATAAAAAAACAAATCTGGAAATGCATAAAATGCTTTCGATTAAAAGAAAAAACAGCGACACAAATAATGGCTCAGTTACCACCTTCAAGAGTAACTCCTTCTAGAGTATTTTCCAAGACTGGTCTGGATTATGCAGGTCCATTTTTTGTGAAACCGCGATCTGGACGTGGAGTTAGATCAGTTAAAATGTACATTTGTATATTTGTGTGTTTCGCGACAAAGGCGGTGCACATCGAAGTTGTTGGAAATTTAACCGCTGAATCATTTATTGCAGCTCTAAAAAGATTTGTTGCGCGAAGAGGAAAACCAAATGAATTATTTTCAGACTGTGGTTCAAATTTTGTTGCTGCAAATAAGGAAATTAATCGAGTAGTTAAATCTCTTCAAAAAGAAGAATCCATCCATCAGTATTTTGCAGATGAGCAAATTAAATGGCACTTTAACCCACCTTCAGCTCCTCGCTTTGGAGGAATTTGGGAAGCTGCTGTTAAATCCGCAAAATCGCATTTGAAAAGAACAATAGGTGATCATAAATTGACCCTTGAAGAGTTTTTAACTCTTATTGCACAAATTGAATCCTGCCTGAACTTTCGTCCTTTGTGTCCTGTGTCGGACGATCCCGCTGAACTTTCAGCACTTACCCCAGGACATTTCCTTGTGGGAACCGCTCTTTCTTTTATACCAGAAGAGAACCTTCTAAACGAAAACATACCCCCATTAAAACGTTGGCAGTTGACTCAAAAACTTTTCCAGAATTTTTGGAAAAGATGGGTTAACGAGTATATTTCCAGCTTACAGTAGCGCCCCAAATGGTTGCGAATACAGCCTAATTTGAAAATTAACGATTTAGTTCTCATTAAAGAGGACAATATTCCACCTTTGAAGTGGAAATTAGGGCGTATACAATAAGTTTTTCCTAGTGCTGACGCTAAGGTAAGAGTGGTCAGTGTCAAAACTGAGACTGGAATTTATAAAAGACACATTCACAAACTGTCAGTTTTACCTATTGACTGATTAACTTTCTTTATTTTAGACTTTATTTTTATTTTTGTTTGTGTTATAGTTATCCGCTTTATACCAAGGAATCTATACATCTGTTTATGATATATATATTTAATTTCATGTATGTTGCAATAGTTTTTAATAATTATCTTTTTATTAGATGTGTATAGTTTAATCTTGTTTTTTGTTAATTTATGTGTAAATTTTGAAACTATGTTTCAAGGTGGCCCGGTATGTTGAAGCCGGTATGAATGTAGTAATAGTAGCGCCACCTACATTAATTAGAAAAAAGTTACTTCCTTGTTGGATATCATTGCGTCTAGAGAAAGACCAATGCGCTGTTCTTAATAAACGCATATTAATAATTAATCCGCCATTTATTCCTTTTGTTGTTGTTTATCTAAAATCAGATCGACATTATCTTTATGAGCTCGTAATATACGAACCACGCAAACCCGCAAACGCAATTAAAATACAAAATATCAACAAATTTACTGTCGGTTCCTCCAACTTCTAAAAGCTTTAAACTTCCTTAATAAGTATGAGAAATCGCATAACCTAAACACGTTTAAATTTGTAAACGGATTCTATAAGTTTTTTTAGAAATTTTTAGAAAGATCAAAAAATATGTTAGTATAGAAGTGTTTAAATTATACATTATTTTGCCCAACCCCTATGTATATCTTTATATAATATAAGAAGAGAGTGAAAGGATAACACATAGCCAATCACAGAAGAATTGGCCGGAAAACCACGTGATAGGATCCAGTTTCTCCTCATTGTTTTGATTGTCATCAGCATAAAATTAATAAAAGTCGTAAATCTCTATAAATATCTCTGTATCCCAAATTTGAAGTTCTTTTTTCTGTACTGTTATTATTACGTTTTTAATTAAAGAGTTAAAAACAAAGAAAATTGTTTTTTTTTCTTCTTTTGTTTTATTATAATGCAATACTGTGCTACATTTTAAGAAAAAGTTATTTATAAAGGTAAGATAAAGTTATTTAGATTATTATTTACCATTTTACAATTATAGTTTTTGCGCAGATTATATTAATATACCGTTATAAATTACAATTAAAGAGATCTGTAAAATGATATAGAACTTAATAATCAGCTTCATGCACAATAAAATGCAAACAAAAATAATATTTAATATATCCGCCTGTTTGGTGAGCGAAAATATTAAATTACGGTTGTGAACACATCAAATTTGTTTGACACCAATAGATCTAATTATTTATAATACTAATCGATAATACTAATAGATAATAATATTTGGTCGTGGAAAGAGGAGGCACAAGCTTAAGCAAACAGAATTCTTTTTAGTACATACATGTTAAGTAACTAATTTTAACTTTAGTAGAAAAACTGTTTTCTGCCGAGAAACGACAACTATTGCAAAGCAATCATCGTTGTTGGTGAGCGGCAGCGAACAGGGGGCTTAGCCCCCTAGTATATATATATATAAAGTAAGTTAATTGAAAATAGATTTTTTCTTACATTCTCTAAAAATATATTTTTTAAAGACCAGTAAAAAGTTGCACCTGATTAACACAACTTATATAAATCTTCCAGATCTTCCTAACCTAAATTTCTATCGTATTTTCCTAAAAACGATACTTAATAACTTAACCCTATTTATATCATTGCATTCTCTATAATGTATGGTATGAAGTGAAGAATTTTTTGTTAACTATAGTTTAGAGTTTCGAAACTTCATAAATGCATAAAAAATAACCTTTTAAAGCTTATAACTTGCATGTGCTACAATGTAAAAAGTAAGTATGAAATGGTTTGGGTGTGTTTAGAGACAATATGATTAAACATTTTTGGGCAAACTCAAAATGGTGTTCTCTATGCGCGATAACATTGAAACTAATTTCATTATTTCTAAAGTTTTACGTCTTGTAACTACCTTAAAAGTTCAAGTTTAGCAAAATCTTTTAAACACATAAGCTTAGAGATAAATACTAAATAGGAATTCTATTTTTGGTCAAACTGAAGATGTTATTTTCTAGGCGCGATAACATTAGAACTATTTTCACTCTTTCCTAAGTTTTATGTCTTGTAAATACGGGGTAGCCGTAGAAGTTTTTCACAACCTTTCTCTTTAAAGTAAGCTAAAAGTGATAAGACTTTAGAATCCTCCGAGAAGGCGAATTTGTCGTGATACTTGTATTCTTGTGGTTTTTAGTAGCTTTCGAAATTACAAAGACACACGGGGGAAAAAAATTTCCGGTAAAATTATCACACTCTATGGTAAGAACATTTCTGATTAAAAAGAACAGAATTCTGGTCGTAAACTTCGAAATATAAGTTATTTAAATTATTCATTTGGTAATTTTTCCGTTCATATGGTAACGGTTAACCGGAAATGGGATTTTCAAAATTATAATTTTTGCTATCACATATTTAATAAGAAAATTAAAAGTAAATTGATCCGAATAAATGGTTTTTAAGCAGTGCTCTGAGGTATCATGATAAAATTACCAAATTTTATCCAATTTACCAAATTTTATTACATATCATAAAGCCACATTTTAACGTTAATTTTACCAGAATCAATATCAGAGTACTGCCGTAAAAATTACCGAACATTTTAGTGTTTCCGAAGAGCGAGAAATACGGTAAAGTTTACCAGTCTCTGGTAATTTTGAACGTACTCTTTTGCTACCATATGCAAAGTTGAACGTTTATACCGTCAATATCAATGATTGGATAGGGTTTTAATTGAGAGTATTAAAATATGCATTCATAAGCAATTTTAATTCAGAATTAGTGAAATCATTATCTATTTACAGATTATGATTAAAAAAATATTTTTTTCTTTGAAGTGTATATAAACTATAAACAACATTTCCCCTTTTGAAGAGTTTTTAAATTCATTTTTTACTTTCCTAAATAATAAATAAATAAGTTTGCTAAAATGCATAAAAGTTCAATTTAAATATTTTAAAAGCAAGCATGGAAAAAAAGATTTTAAAGCATATTACGATTTATGTAACGAAAACTTAACAAAAATAATTGAGCACTACAAGTTCATAATACTTTAGCGGAGAAAGAGAGCAAGGGATGTTACGAGTCATTTATCCCAGGGAATTTATTTCAAAGAAAAAAAATAGCGCTACTTCTCGGAACGAAATTTTTTGTGCTCATTTTATTTTTTTTCTAGGGCTATACTATTTTTTTTCTAAAATTAATTACCGCTTGTCATAAATATGTTACCATGAAACTCAAGCACTCCTACTTTCGTGAATCTTGTTCCTTCAAACATAAAAAAATATGGTCTCTGATCCTTTCTTTCTCGCCAAATCACAATTGATATAATCCTTTGTAGTACTGACGAATGGAATAGAGATGAAAGAACCATGCATATTTGGTCAGATTCCTTTCAATGAAAGATTTATTATATTGTATTCTTTAAACTATGACGCAAAAAGTTTCGCTTCCATTTACTAAAAGAAAAAAATAAATAGATCGAAATGAAAAGAATTTTGTCTATTTCATGAACAACCTTGGGAGGTAAAAAAATAAATAAATGATTCAGTATTTTATAAACTATTTTTACATTGTTATTTACTCTTTCAAATGAATTTTAGAAGAAGTGAAATATCACTTTTTAAAAGAAACTTATAGTATGAGAGTTTCAAATATTTCGCCCAAAACAAAGCTTTCTAAAACGGTAACAAACATCAAAATAGTTTTTGAAATAAATAAGGATAGGAGACAAGATTTTATAACATTCTAGTCTATCTCAAAGCTCTAGAAGGAAATCTTTGGTTCAATTTATTTGATTATGTAAAAAGAAAAATAAATCTGGTAAAATTACCTCACAATATGGTTATGGCTTTTCTGATAAAAAAAGAAGCATTATTTTAGTTAATAAAACCTAAATATACGGTGTTTAAATCTTTCATTTGGTATTTGTTCCATTTATATGGTAACGGTTTATCAGGAATTCTGGGTTTCAAAGTTATAGCTCTTATTATTACAAATTTAGTAGAAATTACAAAACATAAAAGTTGTGCCTCACTCTAAGGTTTCACGATAAAATATCCAAATTTTATCCCATTTACCAACTTTTATCGCATATTATAAAACCATATTTTATTGTTAATTATACGAAAATCTTCACCAATGCGCTTCGGTAAAAATCACCAACCTTTTTGGTGTTCCTATAGAGCCAGAAGCCTGGTAAACTCTGTCTTATTCTGGTAGTACTTCACCATACTTTCTGTCCTTAGTGTGTTTTCCAAATCTGAAAGTTACTAAAATTTTCTTAGTCTAATCAACGCTGGAGAGGAAAAATACATGCAAATAACGCAGTGCACTATATGATTAGTCAGTGTTTCATTATATGGTTAGTGGGTAGCGAGTATGCAAGTATGTGAACAAAGTGCCACAAACTTGAAAAAGATATATACATTTCTAGTATCAGGTGGGAGGGACGTAAAGGTATGGTACTTTAGCCTCCTAGATAGCCAGACATACCATGCAGAAACTTCTTCTACTTGGGTCTAATATAGACAGTCCGGTAAGATGATATCCAGTTGATACTTATAAAGACATTTATGCTTTCTTTTGTGTGACACGACAGAAGCTTTCCAGAACGTAAGTAATTCCAATGAGCGTTACTGTGAAGATTGGGTGACAGCTTCAGTTCAGAATTGCAAGCCTCTTCTGCAGCATTTAGACTAAGTCAAAGGGAAACCTAACATTCAGAAGATTTCTGTTACGCTATTGTATTGCAGTTTCTGTTCATTACTTCTTTGACCGTTCATTAATATTTAATATGC